ATATTACACCAATGTTTCTGCAAACTACAAATGTAAAGTGTTAAAGATGAACCTCGGGCACGAGAACCTGTGGCGAGCTCATCTCACATCACCCCTTCTCAGTCTGGTTCCAGCAGTCGCTCAGTATTCATAGTTACATAGTATTTGAGGCTGAATAAAGACACATGTCCATCGAGTCCAACCTATAACATGTATGTGTATGGTTCTACTGACGTGTGCGTATGTATAGGTCCCTGTGTGATCTCATTCTTAAGTGTACCCGTGCCCCCTGTACGTTACCCGCGCCCCCTGTACGTTACCCGCGCCCCCTGTACGTTACCCGCGCCCCCTGTATATTACGGTCCCTGAGGAAATCGTCCAATCGCCTCTTGAATGATTCCACGCTCTCAGCCGAAATCACAGCATGTGCAAGCGAGTTCCAGACCCTGACTGATCTAACTGAGAAGAACCCCATTCGCCCCTTGTGCTGAAATTTTTTTCTCCACCAATTTTAGGTGGTGGCCTCTCGTCCTCGTCATGGAGCTAATTGTAAAAAGTTTGCTGCTGATGTTACTATCCCCGGTAAACATTTTATACATGAAAATCATGTCCCCCCCTTAATCTCCTTACTTCCAATGAGAACATGTTTAAAGGAGAACTATGGGTTGAGGGCTTTTCCCCCATAGTTCTCCTCAGGGTAACGGGAGGACACAAACTAGCGTCCTCCCCTCACCCTAGACTCAGTATATAGGGAGCTACAGCTCGCGGTATACTGAGACGTCACAGCCGAGGCGGATCCCGACAATTGTCTGGATCCGCCCAGCTGCGTGACTGACAGCTGGCTCTGCCTATCTAGAGGCTGTACCCGCCCCCACCCCCGTCCGTTCCTCCAGTCAGCGCTGGAGGATCGGATAGGGACAGGGGAATCCCTGCAGGGAGCCGTGAGTGGCAGTCACGGCTCTCTGCAGGGATAGATCGAGAAGTGAGCGAACGCCGGTATGTGTTGCCTCACTTCCGATCTACTGAGCCGACCTGTGACAGTCTCATTGTCACAGGTCGGCTCCAACTATGAGGATGAGTGAAAAGCACCCCCCCTCATAGTTCTCCTTTAAATTTAGTAGCCTGGTCTCATAGCTCAGGTCCTCCATTAATGAGTTTGGTTGCCCTCCTCTGGACTCTTTCCAGCTCGAGGACGTCCTTTCTGTTCACTGGTACCCAAAACTGGACCTCGTACTCCAGATGAGGCCGAACCAGCGATCTATAAAGTGGCAAAATTATAGACTTGTCCCTGCAATACATCCCCTTCTTAATACAGGACAGGACCCTACTAGCTTTGCTTACCGCAGCCTGACACTGCGAGCTGTTTTTCAGTCTGTGGTCTACAATGACCCCCAAATCCGTTTCCCTTCGTACTTCCCCAGCGGAGCTCCCATTAGTGTGTAATTCGCTTTCTTATTTTTAACCCCCAAAGTGCACAACCTTACATTTATCTACATTAAACCTCATCTGCCATGTAGTTGCCCTACATGGCACATGAACAGAAAGGACGTCCTTATAATGTTTACCGGGGATAGTAACATTAGCAGCAAACTCTTTACTGTTAACTCCATGACAAGGACGAGAGTCCACCACCTAAAATTGGTGGAGTAAAAATTTCAGCACAAGGGGCGCAGGGGTTTCTTCTCAGTCAGAGCGGTCAGTGTCTGGAACTCGCTGCCAGAGACCGTGATTTCAGCTGAGCGTGTGGAATCATTCAAGAGGCGATTGGACAATTTCCTCAGGGACCGTAACATACAGGGGGACAGGTAACATACAGGGGGACAGGTAACATACAGGGGGACAGGTAACATACAGGGGGACAGGTAACATACAGGGGGACAGGTACTCTTATCCAGATTCCCCTGTAATGTTATAGTGTCTGAGTCAGTGTCTATTAACCTCCCGATTTTGGTATTGTCAGCAAACACTGAAACATGGCTATTCACTCCCTCCCCGATATCATTAATGAAAAGGTTAAACAGCATGGGGCCCGGCACAGAACCCCTATTCATTACTGTACTGTACATTAGTATCTACAGCATGCAAACCTAAGCCATGCACTGCGTATTAGAGCCGATTTCCTCTATTCCTCGCTTAACGACCTAGACGTAGGAATGGAACTCGGTTAACTGTCTGCATATCAAAAGAAAAAAAATAACAAGTTTTAGCTACAGATAAAACTTAAGAGACATTCATTCCGATACATTGAGATAATGTTCATTAGTCACCAGACAACCGCCTATGACTTGCACCCAATCACATAGACGCCCTTAAAACTTTTTCCGACAGATAATTTTCTTCCTCCTTTCTTTGTCCCCTTTCCCCTCCGCTGCCCCCTCTTCTGCCGGTGTTCTATCAATCCCTCGGAGTCCGAGAGATCGATAGAACACCCCGGGATCAAGTCTCCCATACGCGGCTGGAAACAATAGCCAGGCTGCTATTGGATATTTCAAATTGCAATAGCCAATAGCAGGCTGGCTATTGCACCCGCTCACTGCCTGATGTCAATCAGCAGAGGAGATGTGTGCAAACCTGGTAACCAACCACAAGAAACGTCTGACCTCCGTGCTCCCCAACAAGGGACTCCCCACCGAATACCAAGTCATGTTCTGCTTTGGGGATCAAATACTTATTTTACTCACCTGAACTGCAACTCCATTTATAACATTTGTATCATGTGACTTCTCTGGATTGTTGGTTGATATTCTGTCTCTATCATTTATCATACACTTACAAAGAAATGAAAGGTCTATAATTTTTATTATAAGTGGGCAAACCTACAAGATCTGCAGGGGATCAAACAAACAATTATGTTCCTCGCTGTATGATGGTTGGGTCATAGGAGTACATTGGGAGTACTCTTGTGACCCCAAAAGAGGAGTAAAACCCAAAAAAAGGTTTGTCTTTACTTCTCTTCATTTTCAGGACTGTGACTGTACATGTGCCAATGCTAGTGAATCCCAGTACACTCAGTGGCGTCACAAGGGGGGGGTGCAGCCTGCAACGCGTGACACCAAAATGACTGAGTCATTTAGGGGTCACCCCCCTCTGGAAAGTCAGGCGCTCGGTCATGGACTGGGAGCCTGACAGCTGCACGAGAGAGGGGACTGGGCAGCATACCTCATCTTGCCGGACGAACGTCCCCCTCCAAGATTGGCACCAGCAGTTAAATGCACGTGACGAGCCACCGGACGACACCCGGCACGGAGAGGCCTCCGAGTACACTGCCTATTGAACATTTACACAAATTACATTTCCCTCTGACTTTGTTTTTTTCATCTCAGAGCAGGTGGTGATCTCATCCAGCTGCTTTCAGTCACTTCCTGTCTACATGCATGCGCTCCAGCATCAGCTGCTGGACTGGCTTCCCGGTAGCTGCAACAGTGGCCCATGCCTGCGCAGTGTGTGTAGTTTCTTTCCGAATCCTGAGAAATAGGGCGACAACACAGGACCGCAATAGGAAGATCGGGGACAGAGCGTTCAGAATATGTCGCGCCGCACTCGTTACCGGAGAGCCCCTTGAGGATCGGCTGCTGGAGGGACCACGGATGGAGCCGCACAGATCAGAAGAGAAACGAGAGATGGCACCAGCACAGCGCAGGCAATGTTCCAACGAGTGCCTTTTTATTGACGCATGTCGTCACAATGAAAGCAATGTTTCGGGCGCCACGCAGGGTCCCCCCTTTCATCAGGCTCAGGGGCGATGTATGTTTGTTAGATCTGGAGTTTGAGCAGTTACCGCTACTGTACTGGCAGGATCACCAGATATTCTTGTGATGAAAGCAGCCGACCCCGAGCAGTCCATGAGGACGCATGGCACGGGTGGCGGTACGCTCATACATGTTCTGTTTGCCTGATGAAGGAACCTTTGGGTTCCAAAACGTTGCATGAAGATGTCATACCACTTTAGTCAATAAAGAGATTGACTGGACATCGTATTCGAGTGCGAGTGGCTTTTTCGTTGGTTTCAAGTTATCTGCGGAGGCATCTGCTGTTACTCCGGCACCCACCCTGTACGCTGGGGTTTTTTTCCGGTGAGGAGTGTGATGGGACTAATTGGATTTTGCCTGGCACGGGTGGGACGCATGGCGCGGGTGGGACGCATGGCACGGGCGGCGGTACACTCATACATTGTGGCCAACGTACAAACTAAAAAAAAAAATTTAGTGATTGGGTTTACATGCCCTTCAAGAATGTAAACAGACCATATAAAAGTCAGACTCTTTATTTCAAAACCATCTGTCATATTGGCAGCTGCGAAAACAAAAAAAAAAACACTAAAAAGTAATAAAAAGAAGCGCTCACATCGGCAAAAGG